GAGCAGACTGCTTTGAATTTAACTTAATCGCAGAACTCTCATCTTGAGCAAGCATGAAGGCGACAGTGGAAAGGAAAAACTCCATGTGCTTCGACTAGCTGGGTTTGAGAGGAACAGGAAGGAGGAACAGATACACAATGGCAGGTTGAGAATCGCATGTAAAAATAGAAATAGTATCAAATAAAACTATTCAGTTTTAACAATTTAGTTTAATAAATTTGGTTAATTTGTCCTCCAGTAATCTAAGCCTATAACAGCACAACAAGCCAACCCTAGCTGTAGGATTTATAATAAAGGAAAGTCTTAAGCCCAGTCTTAAAACTGGACAATGTTTCAGCCTAATGGATGGAATCTGGAAGTTGGTTCCACAAGAGAGGAGCCTGATAACTGAAAAATCTAACTCCCATTCTACTTTTGGAAACTCTAGGAACTGCAAGTAAGCCTACAGTCTGAGAGGGAAGTGCTCTGCTAGGAAAATATGGAATAATAAGATCTCAAATGTAAGCTGGAGCTAGGTTGTTGAGGGCTTTGTAGGTTAGAAGTAAAATTTTGAATTAATTTGGGAACCAGTTTTTCATTATTTACATACCTATGCATATTCACAATATTTCATTAACCATTGGACACATTTTAATGAAACTGTTTGAAAGCAATCACTGGATGTACCTCTATGACTAGATGGCTACCACAGCCAACTGACTTTAAACAAAAAATAACAGTAAATTTTTCAGATGTTTTTGTTGTTGCTGTTGTTTTATTCTACCTTTTTTGCCCTTCTTGACCTGAACTCAAATCTGAATCTTCAGGATTACAAGACCAGCACTGACCACAAAGCTACCACAGGCCCAAGTCAATTTTACAGATATTGCGTTAAAAATTGTGTTTTGACAGCTGAGACTGATCCACAACACATTTTTCTGAGTTATAACCGTTTGTGCAAAATCTTTAAGACAATGCCATTAACATTTTGAAGTCAAATCTGTCTTTTAGCAAAAATACTTCATGAAAAGTTGGGTGGATTTTAATGAAACTCAGGAAATAATCATTAGATGTACATCTCAAGCTAATTAACATTTTATCCAACCAAAGACATTCACCATAGCCAACTGAGCTAAGAAAAAAAAACTGTTTCAATGGTATTGTAATCTATAATAAATGCTTAATTTAGGCAATTTTTCAAATTTGGTTGTAGCTGAAAGTCATTTACAACATATTTTAGGTTGCTTACAGGCCCAAACAAGAGATCTGTGATCTCAATAGGATTTTCCTGATTAAAGGTTAATAAATAAATAACTAAAAACTGAGCATCTTGTGGTATCACTTCAAGGTTTAACCAAAACAACTATAACCCATATTGATATAAGATGAAGCTTTCTCAACAAAACTTTATGTTAGTCTGTTCATTGTAGTTCACTTTATAGCCATTTCAGCACAAATGGAATTTCCTTTTTCCCATAAACTCTGGGTAAAAGCCAGTGGGCAAAAGAAAAGAAAAAATTGGCAGGCCAAGTTTTGAGGAAAGGCTGCTCTCTTCTGGGCAACAAATGAACCTACAAGGTAACGTCACACATTTCAGTGCGATAAGACAAACTGAAACACAGATATGACATATTTAATTTTATTATTTACAAGTAGAAATATAATATTTGTCACATCGTTTCAATTTCAGATGCAAAATTTAAGGTGGCAGCATAATTAACAATTCACAAAATCATAAATAAAAAGCATAAATAGCAAAAACATAAATAGCACAATAAATAAGATTTACATTCACAGTTACGTCGTTCGTGGTAACAGAACGCATGAGAAGTTTCACGGGATCTAAATACTGTTGATGGAAACCATCTTAAAGCCTCTGACTGTGATGCTGGTGTTGGAAAGCGACAGGCTGGCGTGCAGCATCTTCACTCCACTCACGCTGGGGCAGAACGAGATGCGTTGCTCAACTTTTCCTCCGGGACGCAGTGAGTTCATCCTGCAGGGAAACAGCAGTCAGCACATTAATCAAATGCTCATAAAGATTTTAAAGCAGTGAATTTATATGACTGGATCGTTTGGCACAAAGTACTCTGTAAATGTTTCACATAGCACACCCTGCATTCCTCCAGTACAGACTTGTTGTTTCGCAATGTGGCATTTAAGGACACTCCTCCACCTTGTCACTTTGCAGCTATTTCTCTATCTTCATAAACTTTCTATGAATCGTGAAGTTAAAACCACAAATCCAGTTACCTGAACTGAGTCCTGCCATTTATGAGCCCAGACCCAGCTACAGTCAGCACACCACTGATTGGGTGAGAGAAAGGGTTGATGAACGTTACTGTAGCGGTGTGCTCCTTGTTTAGCACAATGGAGTCTTTATCTGCAACCTGAAAAAAAAACAAAAAAAACATAAAGGTAAACCTAGAATATTCCACAAAATGAAAATGAATGATATGATTCTTAAAACGTCGCATTCTATGATGTATTAGTCTATATTTTTTTATGATCTTTGTAAGTTACCTTTATGATGAGCTCTGGGCTGGCAATGTTGAACTCCTCTGCAGCGAGGGCACGCTCATGAGTGGTGGTGTCCTCCAGCACAACTGCTAGGTTGATCAGATTATCTCCCAAAACGTTCTTATACTGAGCTGGATGGATCTGCTGCTGCAGCACTTTAGCTGGAAAGCAAGAGGAAATAGAAATAAGTATGTGGAATTCATCATCAAATCATATTATAATACATTACAACAATCGCAGTGTCAAGAGAAGTAAATTTACCTTCCATGGGTGCCAGCTGCAGGACGCCATGATTTTCCCAGAAGGTATCAGACGGACTGTTGTTGTACTCTTTGGCCTGAGCATTAAGGTGCATGATGAGCTTCTTGGCCACACGCTGCCTGTTGGTGACCTTCACTGAGAAGCGAATCGGCTCTCCAGCAACTGGAGATTTGTCCAGGGTCAAGAGGACTGTCACTCCCTGGGATGGGTTTGCTGTAAACATAACAGTCTGAATGAGCTGACTTTCAATTTAAGCTTGAACAACATACGGTAATCAAAATGATCAGTTACCTCTACTTAACGTTGAATCGTCTGAAACTGTGGAACTTCTTGATGAAAGTGTTGAAGATGAACCTGCATTGAAAGTAAGAAACAGTAAGTATCGTTTCCTGAGCTGAGCGTTGTTCCACTTGGAAAAAAGATGAAAATGTGTGAATATATTTTGTGTTTTGGGATCATACTTTTGATGGGTTTGTAATCTCCCGTGATGTTCTGCAATCTTGGGAAGCCAACGGCTTTAGTGCAGATGAAAGATCCGACTCTCTCTGTGTCTGTGCTGAAGCTAACCACATGACCTTGGCTCCAGATGATCGTGTGCACGTCAGCGTTCACCTCCGCGTAGACAAACGGAATGTCGTATGGCAGGTCTACGCGCTGATATTTTATTGCTTTGACGGGAGCCGGGCCACAGCAGAACACTCCTGGAATGATGAAAAGGAAGAATGTTATATCATGATTCTTACTGGGGACTACCCAGTAAGACAGCCACCTGTTATTATCCACTTGACTTTGGGTTTCTTAACTTTAAATCTTACTCTTACGTCAACTTTAATTCAGCCCGAACCGTAATGTGTACCCCAACAAATGTTATATCAAAACGACCGGCTTGGCACCATGATGTGTGCTATTACTTTTATTGGTGTTTCGAGTTACCATGGCGACATAATTTGCAAACAAAGTCACCATTTTTCTAATTGAAAATCACTGACAGAACTCTTAGCTTCTATCTGCCACAGTGAGGTCACATGACCTAGAGTTGGGAGGTCTCTGAATAAAACAACGATTAACTTTTGGAGCCATTTTGGTTCAAGATGGCTGCCACAGCTATATCAGAAAACTCTAAATTGACTAAAACTCAGTCTTTCTTTGAGATATTGAGCTGAAATTTAGGATGGTCGTAGCTGAGAGCAAGTTGTTTGGGACTGCCTAAAAAGGCTGCCACCTAATGTGAATTAAATATCCAAGATGGCCACCTTTGCTAAAGGGAAAAAAAATGAGATAACTCAGCTATTTTAAAATATATTAAGCTGAAATTTGGCGGTGTGGTAGCAACACATTCTGAAATCAAATGGTATCAAATCAAAATTTTAAAATGGTCGCAATGTGGCAGTCCCCATCAAAGTTTCTCCAGGAACTTTCTCATTTTTTTTATTATTTTCTTTTGTTACAAAAAAAAACAAGCAAAAACAAATTGTAGCCATGTTTCTCACGCACCTTCACTCCTCTGCTGTGGGGTTGGGTCAACAACTTGCCAGCCATTCATATCAGACCCCAGATCTTTGCGAGTCATCCAGCACTCCACCCACACATGAAAGTTCCTGTAAAAAGAAAAGTCCAAAATAAAACACTTGTGGCTGTTTAGTTCAATAATGATTAAACAAACAAAAAAAAAACAGTTATTGTCTATAAATTGCATCAGGGCTTGGTGTGTACTGACCATATGCTGTCTTTGCTGTGGTTCAGCTTCTGCCCCGTTTCGCTGTAGTGCTCCTCAATCACCAGGTTGGCGTTGGTGTCATGAGCAGAGTTGAAGTTTGTGACAACGCGACAAGGAATGCCAAGAACTCTCATAACTAAAAGAGCGATGAAAAGAGAGACGCAAACATTTACGTAAGCGTTAGAAGCAAATTAAGGTAATTTTAATTCTGAGCTGAGAACATCAACGAGTTAATGAAATAAGATGGAGATTTATATTTATTTAAAACAACTCCATATGATGCAATTACCTGTGCACATGACGGCTGCAAACACCCAGCATTGTCCATACTTGACTGGGTTGTGACCAAACTTTGCCCACTGTCTCAAAATGTCCCCACTCCCTGTCCACTTGGAGGGATTGACACCTTCTTTGAAGTCTTCAGACCAGTTTCCTTTCAGGACGCCACGATCATCCTCGCTGTTGATCTGAAGTTAAAAAGAAGACAAATTTGAGTTATTCGTAGCATGTTGGGGCTTGACGTATTGGCATCCGTCATACACTGTCTGACAGCTATAATTGCAGCTCTGTCATGGGACAGTATAGTGTGATTCATACGTGAGTTCATCCAGATCTGTGGGATCTGGATGAACTCACGTCTCATTTCAAACCACACCTTCTTTGAACAGATGATAATGATGTGTGGAAGGGATTAGTTGTTTTCAGAATATGTTCACACTCACCATGGCAGAAACAACTCGGCTGATGTAGACAGGGTTGTTTCGTTTCAGATAGTCCTTGGTTCTGTTCATCTGGTGCTGTGGGCTGATTTGAAGCAGATCCAGGCATGCCTCCAAAACACCCGTCTCATACTGTAGAGGAACAAAAAGGGCACAAATAGTTTTAGTCAAAGTGTTTGTGTGAATTAAATTAAAATCAATGCATGCATTTTGCAGGATAATTTCATTACCAAATGTATTCTGATGAAAAAAAATACACAAATATTTTTCCTACCTGATCAAAAGACCAAGGTCTCGCCACAGGATTCATCTGGGTCCCCATGAACAGCAGCCCAGAGTCACTCAGGACGTATTCCTCCCTCTCATCCTCAAACGGAATGAAAACAGCATCCTCTAAAAGACAAAAAAAAACCTTTTATTCAGAACAACTCATTGCATTTTCATCCTAAAATGCCATTTACAGATAGTACAGCAGCCAAGTGGTCAGAGCAGTGACACTCATATGCCACATAAATCTGTAAATGATCATCTGTGTGTGGTATTGATAAAGAAATAAACTGGGGAATCACTGAATGAACGTGGCTTCTAATGCGATCTAAAGGAGGAAATGTAGCTCATATAAACGTAATTGTTTTGTTTGGTCCTTTTAGAAGCTAATTTATTTTATTCATTAGTGTAAAAAATGTGGAAATATCTGAAAAGTGGAAAAAGAAAATTACATTTAAATTTAACAAGATATCCACATCTGGATGCTGAGAGTAAAAAACACGATTGTGAGTGTGTTATGGTGACACCTATATGAGATGCTTAACTATTTATGTGATTCAGTTATACTTATTTCAGAGAACAAACCCATTTGTTTTTCAGTTTTCCAAGATTTCTGAGATTATTACTAGACACTTGACAAAAACTACATTTCCAGATTCAAGGACTTTTGCTTGGTTGACTGAAAGCACCATAAAAAAGACATTTTAGGACGTAATTTATTTAATTTTTCTTGTTTAATTTAGTTTTTGTCTTTTTAAAAGCACGATGATCTGTTCTGCAGACATTTTATCTTAAAGATGTATGTGTAAAAAGGAACTCTTATCACTCAGTTAAGTGCAAAGAGGACATGAGAAATCAATCAGCCTCCAAAAAAAAAAAGAGCTAAATAAAGTCCAACTGTATAAAATTATTTGACAAAATACCACAGCTGGTCCAGTTTGACCATGTTTGACTAACACTTGCTCATATCGATTATGATTTTCTTTAAAAGTAATCTGTAATCCTATAAATTACTCACAAATTTCTTATGAGCAGAAATGCAGTTCCTAATATTTAACTTGGTCGTACTCACCAGAACACCAGGGGTTGCAGAGAACAATGAAACTTCCAGACACACAACTCCCCCGGCCATCCTGTGTGGACAAACACAGCTGGAATTTGTAGCAGCCCACCGAGGCGAAAGCAGGAGAGGAGATGAAGATGGAGAGTTTCTGGGGGCTCGAGTTGTTGGAGTCAATGCAGGCATTCCAAGGAGCAGATAATGTCTCCCTGGAGAAAGTGACTGGCATCATTGTATACAGCCCACCTGAGGAGAAAGAATGAA